TCGAAAATGTTTTTTTTCCCCCAACCTTTTTAAAATTATTAATATTTTTTATTAAAAATGTTTTTTAGTTTATTGTTAGTCTTTGGGGAAATATCAGGGGTCTAAACAGACCCCTTATATTTTCTTTTAACCCCTTCATGACGGGAGACGTACACTGTACGTCCCGACACTTTGTGCTTATATGACTGGCCACGTACACTGTACTTGACGAGTTAGATCAGGCTTTGTAATGCTGGTAACAGCTGATTCTCAGCATTTACCAGTCAATAATGAATGCCTCAGTATTGAGTCATTCATTAATGAAATAATTAAGCTTTTTGTAAAAGCTTCTTCCTTTTATTAATGAAAAAATTAAGCCGTTACATGCAAATACAGGACCGCAATTTGTGATCCTGTATTTGACAGCTGAAAATAGCAGAGAGGTAGCAGTGACTCACCTCTCTGCTATTTGTTTTGACAGCTCAAGAGCCGATGTTTAGATACATTTCACTAAAAAGATACAATGTATATCTTTTTAGTGAAATGTATCAGTTCTGATCGTCTACGCACGATCAAAGAGCTGTTCCTAAGTTTGGAGCAGCCTAATAGCCAAAAAAAAAAAGTTAATTTATCAAGCAGTCATAGTGAATGCTTGATGTAAACTGACAAGAAAAAAAAAGTTTTTATTTAATTTTTTTTACACTTTGTAAAAAAAAAAGTGTAAAATAAAAATGATATATAAATATATTCTTTATACTATAATTAATATAAACAAATTCTAAAAATAATAATCAAAACTTGTGAAAAAAGTGTTTTCTTCTAGTTTTTTTCCTCTTTTTTTTATTTTATTCAAACTAAGTGAGGGGTTAGGTACACATATGTGATATAATTATATAGCGCTATCTGTCCTCTAAAAAACAATATATAATATGTGTGGGTACATTTAGTAAGAAAGTATATTACTGCTGTGGAAGAATCACACAGCAAAAATGTAAAAAGTGTGTCAGTCATTTATGAACAGAAACTGAAAACTAGCTCAGTCATGAAGGGGTTAA